ATGACACTAAATAGGACGCAATGGAGAAAAAGGATTCATGTAGCCGACCCCACGTAGTGGGATTAAGGCTTTGTTGTTGTTGTTGTTGTTGTTAAGTCCTAAGGGTACCAGTATGATTTAAGTTTGTTCAAGCATTACTTCAAAGTGGACTGCTAAACAAATTGGCAGAGCATTTTAAATGTTAATATAATTATATTTTTTGTGTGACATAAAAGATTTGAGTTGTATTCATGTAAAAAAAAAAGTAAATTTTGTGTCACATATGTTAATACACAGGAATTGGGTGGTATGTATGTAAATGCCCAAAAAAATATAGGAGTGTTTACATACATACACACGGCACTTAAATCTTGAATATCATATCAAAATTATCACTATTTTAATTCTAAAAAGTGAAATACATCTTTTCATGGACAAACAAAATGACATATATGTAAAAATTGAAACTCATGCATTAGGTATCTGATGTAAATACATAAGAATTGAGTGGTACGTATGTAAACCTTCTACAAAAAAGATATTATCATCAAGAATTAACTGACATTTTGCATATCATTATAATGGCACACTTACCAAATACGAACTCTCCAATGTTTCATCATGGTGAGTCCGCGCATTCATTAATTTCTTTTGCCATCAATTAATTCTCTTACACCTTCACATAAATGCCTTGGAGCTTTATATATATATATATATATATATATATATACACGTCAATTTCATATATAAAATTAAATATTATATAATATTATACAATAACATTGTAAATGGAACCTGCATATATACAAAGTTCGCACTTAATGACATGAGATCTCATGTTGTTAGGATTGTGCTAAGAATCCGGGTCTTTAGAGGTTAGCACATCTTGTACTTCTTTACCCCTCTCATGGCCATTCATGCATCATCACCCACTTCTAATAGCGGATTTTAAATAATTTTTAAATTTTCAATGAAGGAAAAAGGTAATTTACATATTTGAAAATTTATTAGGATCAATTATGAAAAGGACAAGCCATGTTACATAGATGTTGAACGAGATTTGCATTCATGCATTTTCCCTATCCTATAAGATTTTGTTTTCAGCTTCAACAGACGCCCGAATCAAGAGGTGCAGCACATCTTCACATGTGAAAGATGTATTCATGGAGTATTTATCAATTATTGCATCATTATTTTTTAATTAATAGAAATTGAAACATGATTGTGAAG